AACGATCGGCTGGTCCAGGCTGAGCTGGCTCTCCGCTACTGGAAAGAGCACGACAATCTGTATAGCTGGGCGCCTTTCCCAATATACACTGAACGAGCGGACTACCGATGTCTCGAGCTGGCCTTGATCCAAGAACGGCAGCCTCGTCTCAACTATCCATGCATCTGCCAATTCTTCCATCCGAGAAGAGGCATCCTCAAAAAACCGGCCATGAATACCAATGCTCAATTTGGCTTGGCCACATTGTGGCGTCGTTCCAAACACAAGTTCATTCCAAAAGGCGTTAAGGACATTCTTGCATCGGAACGCTTCCAACATCGACTTGAACTTTGGACAATCATCCACGCTTTGGGTTCCAACACCAAAGCACGATTTGAACAATCCAAGATGCTTCGATCCCACGATGGGGGCCTTACATTGTGCTATGCTCTCAGACGTCTCGCCAACAACATCCAGGAGCCATATCGTACTCTTTCACTCCAAGCCGTCGATGCCTCCATTCAATGGTGGAAAGGGAAGCCTGCACCAAGTGCTTCTGCACTACGAGCCCCTAGGTCACTCACTCCAAACCTTCAACGCCACTTAAAGCAATTTCTTCGGAAGTGGCACCTCCAAGATGGTTTTCATCAAGCATGCTGCCGTCCTAGACCAGCTTTGCAACCACAAGCAAGCCATCAACGATTGGTCTCCGGGCAACGAAACCAGTTGCTGCTGCAAAAACTGTTCCAAATTCTCCAAAGCGGCTCTCAATCCATCAGATCCACACTGGGTCCTCGCTGGATCCCTTCTCCACGATTTACTCCCAGTGCATCTTGCCGTGATCGCTGAAAAGGATCCTTATTGAACAAGGTCTTCCCATCCAAGAAAGACTACCATACACAGCTGAAGACCGGACTTCAACAATGGACAAAACGAAATGGTCTTCCCTCCATGCCATCTCAGGACATCTCGGACTTGTGTCAAAGTCTCTGGACACAACACACTCAAGAAGTCACATGCCACATCACCAAATCCTCCATCACGGCTTTTCGACAATGAAGGTGCTGTCTTTCACTGTGAGGATAAGCAAGCTTCCTCACTTCGAATCTACTGTCCTTGCCTTTTTCACACAGGAATCGAGAACACCTTCATCGACCCTTCAATTTTCGAGCCAGTGTTACAAGACCCCACTACAATTGTCACTTCTCTTGTTGACCAACTCCAAAAACAACATAGCAAATCTTACCCTTGGGCCACCGGCCCTGGTCGCCAACTGCCTGCAGGCTACCCTGGCCAAAAAGAAAAAGGCATTTCAAAGTGGGCGCCCGACCGTTTCGTTCGTCGACTCACCTTTCCGTCCTATGCTCAACATCCTGGCCAGGATGATTTTCCAACTTATCCCGGTGGCCTGTCCAAACCATTTTGCCTCAGGAGATGTTTACACCCTCCTCGACATCCTGAGATCGGCGCCTGTCGACGCAGATTTGATCTTGGTCAATCAAGATCTTGCTGGCTTCTTCACCAGCATTGACCAAGAGCGATTCATTGGGTCATGGCTCATGCTTCTAAACTTTCTCAGACGTTGCTGACAACGAGGTCTTCTCCGTCTATCCAGGAAAATCCAACAATCCAGGAGATCTCATCAAAGGCTGCACGTTCCGTCGATTGAACATCACCAGGAAGATTGTCATCAAGGATGTCCCATCCCTTCTCACCACGGCCCTTGACATGCAAACGTTCGCCCTGGGCCAACGTTGCGTCCGTCAACGACGAGGAAGTCCAATGGGAAGTCCCCTTTCTCCTGCACTCTGCCTTATGGTGGTATCCATCAATGAACAAATTTGGCCCATAAACTTCAAACAAATCCTCTCTAATTGGACAGCCGGCTCATCTTTGGCGATTCCAGACTTCAACAACTCCCACCCTATGAAGTCCTTCTCGACGAAGGGTTCTATGGCAAACCGATCATTCTCGAAACTGAACCGATCAAGAGTTCCTTGGCTTCATGCTTGAAACCAAACCGTTGGAACTCATATACCATGGCCCCACCAATATCTCTCAAGTCCTGTTACCATACTCGGCATCTCCTCTGAAAGTCCTCCTCAGTGGCTTTCGCTCTCGTTGCCACATTGTCATCAAAGGAGCTTTTCCAGATCATCGTGTTCAGCAGGGCCTGGATCAACTGATCCACTTGTACACTTTAGCGGGGTTTCCCAATGAGGAACTCCAAACCATTTCATCACAGATTTTGATTCAGCATCAGAACCTTCAGCCGCAAGAAAATCCGCTAGTCACCATTCTCGTGACTTTGTTGAATGGTTGCTTTTTTCTGGTTTTGTGGTTTCGATGTTTTCGCTCGTGTATTATCTCGGTTCCGAATAATTTGGTTCTTTTGTCTCTTTAGCCTCTGTTGATTGATGTCCACCCTCAATTGCTCTGCTTTCCTGCTGGACTAGTACTTGGCTCAAAATCGTATTTCCAACACTATGCCTGTCATCCGTGATCGCTGTGCTCATCATGGAGCACCCCCATGGCCGTGAGATTCACTACCATTTAGCTCGGGCCTTAATGCATTTGAACACCATTGCAGGTTACCTTCCTTTTTTCGAACCTGCTGTCGACTGGGATGAACATCCCCATGATCCATATGGCCGCCCGGCACGGATGCATCCACATCCTCGGCACCTGCATACCTTCGTACCTTTACCCGCCTCTTCATCAAGTCCTACCCTTGCCGTCTCACATGGTACTGAATCCTGAACCTCCTCTCCGACCTCTTTCCATACGTCGTGAGACCGCACCTCTTGATCTTCACTCAGCCAACAATCCGCTTCGCATGGAAACAACATCGAGTACAGTCGCTGCGACACCCATTTCTGGCCCTCCTGTCCATGGCTCGTCTGTCGTCTCCTCGACCACTCTCGCACCCAGTCGGCCCAAATCCAGGGAACCCATAACTGATGATGCTCGTCCCAACAAGAAACAACGAGCCATTGACACAACCACCTCCTCAACTTCCACTACTCCGCACCCAACCTTGCCAGTCATCCGTGATGTCCCTCCTGACGGCTTCAACTCCGATGACTCTGACGACCTCCCTTATCGGGGACACCGTCCCTCCAACCCCAGAACGGGATCCCCACCACTGGAGAATCTAAGTGCACCAGTGAATGACAATCCACGACTTCCAACCGGTGGAGCCTCTTCAACTACAGTTGTTGTCAAGTCAACCTCACCGGCTACACCAACCCTACGCCCATCACCGCTCCGTCGGATCGGGGCACCCCTCACATGAGCATCCGGCTCTGGACGGGTGCTGAGGATCACGAACTCTGCACACTCAAAAATGATACAAAGTCCAGACCTTCATGGAAGACGATCGGCCTCCGATTGAGACGTGATCCAGAAGTATGCAAGATGCGATGGCAGATCCTGAAGCAGACCATTCCAGAAGCCAATCCCCGCACTGAGCCAGAAGCGGAGGATTAATGCCAGCCGCGAAAACCAGAAAAAGCTCAGCGTGTGCGTGTCTGTGCCACTTAGTGACCTGATATGTACTACTTGGCTTGTTACCCTCTCCTGGTTTTTCCTGTTGTTTCTTCTCTAGCCTGGCTCAATTTCCTTTGGCTCATACATCATGGTACGTGAACGTTCTCGCTCCCGGGATGATCCTCCTATGTGGGGACCTTTGGCTCATACATCATGGTACGTGAACGTTCTCGCTCCCGGGATGATCCTCCTATGTGGGGACATCCGAACCCAGATCGCCCTCATGACCCAACGCATCAACGACGATGGCGCTATACTCCGGCACTTCGTCGCACCAGAAGGGTCCTCCTCTGGATCTACCTGGATGGAACCAAACGACTGATGGACGAACAAATGTCAGATGTCATGGAAGTCACTACCTGTGAACACCTTCCTGACCTTCGTCCGACTGAACATTTTTTTTGTTCACCTATAGTTGCCTGTTGACACCAGGCCAGATCCAGATTGTTTCTGTTGCCGACTTGTTGAACTACATCAGCCAATACATCCACAATACTTCGGGCGTCTACATCGAACCCAATGCTATGGACCTCCGTTGGAGTGATTGCACTGGCGACACGTTTGTCCTTCGCTCTCAACAAATCATCACTCGCTTCCTTCGTGAACATCGCCCCCACTGGACGGAAGCTCAAGAGGTAGGAGTCTTCAATTCATTGGTTGACTTTACTAACCCAGGTCAACCGTATATCATGAGGCTCAGCTGTCACAAAGCATTGCCCAACCCAAAGCATCTCCCGTGACCGCTGACAGGTGAAAAAACAACTTGTCTCGCATCTTCTTTTTCAGATCCTGCATTGTCTAGTCTGTGTGCATTTCACATTGTTGTCTTTTCAATCTTTTGGCTCTAGTGTCCAATATGACAAAGAGGAATTCTTCCTCAGCTGACTTGGACTCCCCTCGGGACCTTAGATTTGACTCTTGGTCTCAACCAATGACTACATATCGCCAGCGACATGCATCAGAGGCTGTTGCCTCGTCTGCCGCTGCTGCTGCCTCCTCTAGCCAAGGACTACGACTTCCGGGAACCTCCTCACCTTACGGTTCTAGTCCTTTGAACTCATATGGATATGCAACATCTGCACCCAGCGTTCCAATGCCAACCACCCATCCTACTTGGCATCAACCGGAACACTATATACCCATTACAATCGCAGCTGTCCCAAAATCAGAGGGTACTTCACACCCAACTTTTCAAGGAGGTGATCACAGGCCATGGAGCCAACCAGGTTCGCCGATTGATGGTCACGGAAATCGACAGCACTGGTCAAGAAAGAAACCGTAGACCGGAATTCTTCTTCAATGGAATCTTGGGTCATGTGAAGTGAAGGACCGGTGGGATGGATACATCGACAGCTGGACAGAGTCCTCACGCCTGGCCAACTATTGGCGCAGATTCTTCAACATCGAAGAAGTACAGGGAGAATCCACCACTGGAGGTCACCAGGAATTATACCATCCGGACCAGTCTGACAATGCTGCCCCCGGTAAACAAGATGAAGAAGACCTTGCGGACGACACATCGGTTGTGGCAAACACAGGAGAGGTCTCACCCCCAGCCAGATACATCAACTGGCTACCATTCTCTTGTGTTGATTGCAGATCCTGATTTCAATGCCCCGATCCTTGAGAAGCTCCAGATCCCTCCAGAAGATCCGTCGGAGAACCCAGCCAAGCTGTTCACCGCGATGGAACTTTCGCATTTGTCTAGTCACCTTGCAATTACAGCCTCAGAGTTGGCTCGCAGTGCCCAACCTGCTGAATTTGCGGACATCTCAGATATATCCGACTAGCTCAACAGCAGCACCTGAGCTGTTTTCTAGCCAATTTAACTGTTCTAATTTCATATTCATTGATTCTCTGTAATTAAATTTCTTGTCTCTGGCATCTTGATCGACAGATCCGAGCCCAGTTGGCCATACCAGAGCTTCCATTTATTCGGCATGTTGCATCTTCCGAAAGAAGCCCTGCAGCAGCAGGGCCTGTGTGTGTGTGGAACATCTGAATAGATGTAAAACTTCTACCTGTTAGTTTCCTATCCGGCTTGCGTTGAAGGTTTCGACGTTTCCATTTTTGTGATTGGTCTATTCGACTCCGGATGTCATTTCACTTTTCATTTTTACTGCAGGGGCATCAGGCTCATCATACCTACCTGACGCAACGAAGCTATGGTATGATGGGGGAAGGGTGAGCTGATCATTCACCTGTATTGGCATGGATGTCGTGGACATAGCTTGCAAGATCACTTTGACAATTTCAATTTCCTGTGACATGGCAACCGGCCAAGCCTAGAACCGGCACGTCGAGCATATGTTTTTCTGTTTTTCTGTTTTCACTGTACTGTTGTCGCAATCTGTCAAGAAGGGAACAATTTTGGCTTAGTTGCAATTTATTGCATCTAGCAATGGCTATGGCGATGGTTACTTCGTGCTTCTTTCTCGGGTCTTTTCATCAACTCATTCGTGTCAGGTGTAATTTGAGTGTTTTTGCACGTCAGATGCATTCCACATCAGATTTCTCAAAGATTGTTCTGAGCAAGTGTGTGTCATCAAGGCGTCTGCGTGTAAATGCGCTGTGTGTATTGTGCCAAAAAAGGTTGCCCCCTGCAGCTGCTATGATGATGAAATGATGGAAGTGTTCATTGCATATTTGCAGTAAAATCGACACAAACAGGTTGAGCCCCGAAGGTGCTATCAAGATGAGATGCCATAGTGGCGTTTTCATTGCGCATTTGCAGCGGAATGCGCCAAAAAAAGGTTGAGCCCTGACAAGCTGCTAATATAGCTGCTGTGATTATGAACTGAATGGCGCTTTCACTGCATATTTGGGGTCAAACTCTGCAACAAAAAGGTTGAGCCGAAGGTGTTATCAAGATGAGATGAGTGGCGTTTTCATTGCACATTTGCAACGGAATGCGCCAAAAAAATTGAGCCCTGACAAGCTGCTATGAGTATAAGTTGAGTGATGTTTTCACTGCATATCTGGGGTCAAATCTGCAACCAACAAAAGGTTGAGCCCCGAAGGTGTTATCAGGATGAGGTGGGGGGCGTTCTCAGCGCCCGTTTGCAGAGAAAGGCGCCAGGAAAGGTTGAGCCCTGAAGCGTCTGTGCACAAGCAGCTGTGTGCAAACGTTTCTGTATGTAAAGGCCTCTGTGTGTGTAAAGGTTTCTGTGAAAAGCGCCTGTGTGTAAAAGCGTCTGTGTAAAATTGTCTGTGTGTAAAAGCTTCTGTGAAAAGCACTTGTGTGTAAAAGCGTCTATCTGAAATGCACCTCTGTGTAAAAGTTGCTGTGGGTAATTGTGTCTGTGTAAAAGCGTCTCTGTGTAAATGCGTCCGCCTGAAAAGGCGCCTTTGTGTATAGAAGCGTTTGTGTGTAAAAGTTGCTGTGTGAAAACGCGTCATGCGTGCAAAAAGAGCATCTGTGTGCAAAGGCTCTATGTAAAAACGTCTCTGTGTAAACGCGTCCGTGTGTAAAGCGCTTGTGTGAAAAGGTATGTGACGGTATGTGCGTAAAAATGCTTGTCTGTAAAAGGTCTCTGTGTGTAAAGGCCTCCGTGTAGAAGCGTCTTTGCGTAAAAGCGTCTGTGTAAACGGGTCTGTGTGTAAACGCGGCTGTGTGTAAAAGTGTCTGCGTTACATCTTCACACCTTACATCTTCTCAATCTTTTCTTGCCTTCCCTCACTCTCTTTCTACCACCCTGTCTCCTTCATACAGCATCTCCCTTGCAATTTTTATCTTCCTGCTTTCGTTCTGTATCAATACAAATGTTTCAATGCGTCTCCTCAGCTTTCATCTTAAAATCTTGACATCTTGCTTCTTCATCTTTCTGATAGCCACCTGCTACATTTTCCATTGTTCTTACGTGTTCTAAAATGCCCCAAGCCTTGACACCAAACACAACAGGTCCTGACCAGCTACCACCAAATAGGCACCGACCACGAAAACCCTGTTTCAGAGTCCCACCAGTCCAAAAGACTTCTGAGTTCAACCGCCACCTCACGTTCGGCAGCTGCTCTGCTTTTGACCAGGCTGACATGTAAAAGGGCTGCGCACGGCCCAAATGCAAGTTGACTGACATCCACTTCAGGAATCTTCAGGATACCTGATTAATCGTGCAAAACATAGATCGAAAAATTGAAATGGGTGCTGCATGGAATTTGTGTCATCACGCACTCCCCCTGTGTGACTTGGTATTCCTGTCACACATCTACGACTCAAGCCCTTCTATTCTAATCTGGATACTGTGGCATGGGGCAGCAAATTGCACATGGTTTGAAAAGTCGAAGGAGACTGTTATAGAACCAACATCACGACAATGTTCATACGACGTGTGAAGATCATAACCATGTGAAATCGCCCGCAACTGATAATGTGGGATGTCCGCTGCTGGTCCGCAGCGTTGACACCTGGGAGTCAAAAGAATTTCGCTAGCATGCCGCAATCCATGGCATCGCCTTTCACTATGATACTTTCCCCCATATGGAGTAGTATACAAAGGTGATAGACCTTCCTGGGGATCCTGCATTCTATTCCTAAGCCCTGCTCTCACCTGTTCCGCAGCGCCAGCAGCGCTTGAAGATTCTGCAGCGTCAGCAGCGCTTGAAGATCCGCCAGCCGCAATTTCAGCAGCGCGCAAAGATCCGCTAGCCGCAGCTTCAGGAGCGCGCGAGGGTCCGCCACCTGCAGCTTCAGCGGCGCGCGAGGGTCCGCCAGCTGCAGCGCCAGCAGCGCTTGAAGATCCAACCGCAGCACCAGCAGCGCTTTGAGCGTCCCGCAGCCGCAGCGCCAGCAGCGCCTGCAGATTCAGCAGCCCTCGTCCTCCTCGAACGTCCATCCGCTCCAGCAGATGCAGACCTGGCATCAAGATGTGAAAATCTTCTGACTTCTGAATCTTTCCTTTCAATGGCTTTGTAGGGAAATGCAGGAACATCCACGAATGAGCCCTTGTACTTGACCATCGTTACCTTGTCTACTCGATGCCAAAAGATTAAACCCATGATGCAAACACCGGTAAAAAAAAACAACTGCAAAGATCACGGCCACAATCACAATGAGAAAAAAATTGCTTTTCGGCTGCTCGATGGGCACGACACTGTTTTCCCACATCGCTAAAGCTCTGGATGGAAAACGCTCGGACTGATCTGCTGCTTGAGTCATGGCCATCTGAGTGACAAAGATAATGACTTAAAGGGCTCTTTCCTTCGCTTCTCTTGACATTCCAACATGTTGGTTTTCATTTGTTTCTTTCTTCTCCTCTGCAAAACCTTCAAAATTTTCCAAAAACATCCCCATGGCATGCTTGTGCTGAACAAATTTCTGCACCGACAGAACCTTCGTTCCTAAATCTGCCGGCATCTCTGATCCAGCAACATGCCTGAGCATCCACTCACCTGAAAGCACCTTAGATCTCAAAATGTGGGGTCTTTTGCGAAGGTGTCTGGTTCGCCAAGATCCAGACTCACCCGCAATGATGGCAAAAGCTGCAGAACTATCGGTGAAGGAAAATGAGCGGGAGACCACACCTAATGCTTCTTTGAGCACCACCTTTACGGCCTCTCCAGCTAATGCCCCTTCCAAAACTTCTACAAGCTCTGATTCTGCCGCTGATGCAGCTTGAATTGGCTGCTTTCCAGCTTTCCACAGCAGCAAAGACGTGCCCCAAAGGACCAAATGGCAACCAAATGAAACATCGCTATAAGAAGCATCTGTATAAACATTCAGCTGTCTCTCCCCTTCCGCATTCTTGAAGATCAATCCTTGATGCACTGTAGCTGCAAGATACTGCCACACAGTCTTCGCAAGCTGAACCACCTGGATCGGCGCCTCGGTGATCATGGACGCCAACTTGGAAATCACAAATGCCAAATCCGGTCTTGTCCTCGCAGTGATCCAAACCAACTCACCTACGACTCTCTGCGCCTCCTTGACATTCAACGGTGTTTTCTGCTCAGGGTCATCAAAGATTTCTGGTTCCTTAAGAAGTGGAATCTTTCTGGTCTGCCATTTCTGCGGATCATCTCCAAGGTTGCGCTTGAGAAGATCCTTGATGTAGTTGGCCTGTGTCATGATCCAAGCTCCATCTTCTCTCCTCCACAGCTCAGCTCCTAAGAAACGAACTTCCTTTAACATACCAACCATTTCCAGTTTTGAAGGTTCCCACTTGGCTTGAACCCCAGTGATGACTGCCTGCACGACCTCCAAGCTTCGCAAAATGAGAAGGTCATCCACATAGACCAACAGAAGCCCCACGAACTCCTCCGCCAAAGAATCCCTTCCAGGGCCTGAGGTTTTCAGCATCAACCTCCACATGTTCGGCTCGGTGATCATCTGTTGCAATGTCAAAACTCCATTGGCGCAGTCAATCTTCATGTCGGTCAGCTCATTGTCTCGATAATCTGACCAAAGACGGGGACTTTCCTTGTACCCGTACAAAGCCATCACGGCTTCGTAGAATTCATCTGGTTTAGCCAAACCGGCTGTGACAAGCAGTGCAGGTGGCCGAATGAAGGCCCTCTTTGGTTCACGTTGTCCTTCCCCAGCTCCTGCTAGCACCATCGGGGCATTCAAAAAGGCCGATCGTGCAACACAAAAAGCCCATCTGAGCCGCCACTGTGAGAGCTGCACGCAATGCTACTGCTGTAGCGCCGCTGGCGAACAAATCTTGGGACTCCTCTCTTTCAGAAAAATTCCCACAAGCTACCAGCCGGGCTTTGCGCTTCCCACCTCGTTGGCCTTGTTCAGGCTTCACCGTGAAGACCATCTTGCTGGGAATCAGCTCTGCTTTGTCCTCTTCCAAAAGTCTTTTAACCTCTGCCTCTGTAACCTTCTTGAGCGCACCCTTGGTCTCAAATAGCGACACCAACTCCTTTTCAATGGGCGCTCTCCAATCTTCAATGTTGCGCCGAACTTCTGCCTGAGAAACGATTCGAGTCTGCAAAATCTCCTCGCCCTTCTCAGGCCCCAAAACTTCCTTGATCTTGACGATTGAATCAAGCACAAGGCCTGCTGTACTCACGTCATCGCTCATAGCTTCTACCATCTCTTCTTCCACCAACCTCTGCGGTCGCTCTTTCCTCCGCCGATCCTCCTCTTCTCCTTCCGACATCATCTGGCCTTCTTCTAAACCTATCTCCATCGGCAAAGCATGTGACTGACCATCTTCCACATCAACCTTGTAGATGGATGCCTTGTGCCTCAATCTCCTTCTTTCCTCAAAAGGATTCAGGGCATCTTCTATGCCGATCTAATCTTCTAACTTTGGGGCTCGACAAACCGTGCATCACCATTTTTGTCAAAGACTGGCTCCCATCAGGACGCTCAATTCAATGGCCGTGGTGCGCCCAAGATGGACAAATGTAGGAGACTGTTTCTTGAGTGGGCTCTAGCTCCCTTGAGCGCCAGTAGCGCTTTCGGACCAAAACTGGAGCCAGAAAGGGAGGCGTTTTGGTTTCCTTGCCGACCTGCTTCTGCCTCAGCTTTTCATTGATGAACCGTGCTGCTAATGGCCAACGCTCATATGAAGCTCCTGCTCCATGTAGAGTTCTTCTGATGGCAGCCTTCAAATGTTGGACGGTTGCCTCACATCGGCCATTCATCTGTGGCTGATCCCCAGATGTATAAGTCCTGAGGATGGTACGTGACTCACACCACTTCTGTAGTGAGCTTGATTTGAATTCAGCTCCAAGGTCACTATGCAACTGGGTCACCACGTACCCGTCTGCCCTGAGACGCATGTACATGTTGATGATGGCCTTCAGAACGTCCTCTTTTCTGCGAGACTGAAGTGGCTCACACAATTTGGTGACTTCGATCTTGACGTTCTGTCTTTCTTCAATCTCTTCAAGCTCAACCTCAAGAGAAGGTTGTGCAGCTTCAGATGGTTCCTCTTGACCTTCTGCTTCCTCCTCTTGTTGTTCTTCAGCTTCATCCTCAAGAGCTTCTGGCTCAACTTCTGGAATCTCTTCCTCAGTAGGCTCCTGATCTTGCACCCGAGCTGGCCATGTGAAGCTCCCAACCAGCAGATACTTGGCTGTCCTTCCATGTAGATCATCACCAGGACGAAATGGCCCTGAAATATCCACACTCAAAAGGGTGTGAAATAGTTTTAGGTTTTTTTTTGAGCAGGTTTGGGATTTTTTTTTGATTTCTTGGCTGGTACTCGCACGAAACATCGATTTTGAGGTTGCAAATTTTCAGGTTCTAAGGAAACCTCGTAGGAAAACGTCGATTTTGAAGCTACAAAGTGTCAAAATTGGAGGAAGTCTCGCACAAAATGCTCGTTTTGGTGCTCCCACCTGTCTCGTCTCGCGTGTCTGGTTTTCCCGTGGCCTCGCCGTGTCTATGGGGGAAGCTGCAAAACTTGTCCTTTTGTCATGTTGCCAACTGTGAAAATTGGAGGAAGTCTCGTACGAAATGCTGGTTTTTCTGCATCCATGTGTCTTGTCTCGAGTCGCTGGTTTTCCTGTGGCGTCGCCGTGTCTATGGGGGAAGCTGGAAAACCTGTCCTTTTCGAATGTTTCCAAGCAGGTTGTCATGTTGTTTTGCGTGGCAGACGTGGCACTTTCTGACATTCCAACCTGTTTGATGATGTTCACAAAATTTCAAAATTGGAGGAAGTCTCGTAGGAAAAGCTGATTTTTCTGCATCCAAGTGTCTTGTCTCGAGTCGCTGGTTTTCCTGTGGCGTCGCCGTGTCCATGGGGGAAGCTGGAAAACCTCTCCTATTCGAATGTGTCCAAGCAGGTTGTCATGTCGTTTTGCGTGGCAGGCGTGGCACTTTGTGACATTCCAAACTTGTTTGATAATGTGTTGAAAATGTCAAAATTGGAGGAAGTCTCGCACAAAATGCTCGTTTTTCTGTACCATGCAACTCGTCTCGAGTCTCTGGTTTTCCTGTGGCGTCGTCGTGTCTATGGGGGAAGCTCCGCGCTCCACACTCTACACTTTACACTCCACACTTTACGCTTTGCACTTTACACTCCTCACTCCTCACCTGAGACTTTACACTCCACATTCCACACTTTACACTCCTCACTCCACACTTTACCCTCGTCACTTTACACTCTACACTCCACACTCTACACTTTACACTCTACGCTCCACACTTTACATTTTACACTCCACACTCCACACTCTACACACCACACTCTACACTTTCCACTCCACACTCCACACTCCACACTCTACACTTTACACTTTACACTCTACGCTCCACACTTTACATTTTACACTCCACACTCCACACTCTACACACCACACTCTACACTTTCCACTCCACACTCCACACTCTACACTTTACACTCCACACTCCACACTTTACACTCCTCACTTTACACTCCACACTCCAAACTTTACACTCCACACTCCACACTTTACACTCCTCACTCCACACTCCACACTTTACACTCCACACTCACTTGACACTCCACACTTCACACTCCACACTTTCCACTCCACACTCCACACTCTACACTCCACACTTTACACTCCACACTCCACACTCTACACACCACACTCTACACTTTCCACTCCACACTTTATACTTTCCACTCATCCCTCCACAATCCACACTCTACACTCCTCACTTTACACTCCACACTCTACACACCACACTCTACACTTTCCACTCCAGACTCCACACTCTACACTTTACGCTCCACACTCCACACTTTACACTCCACACTTTACACTCCACACTCCACACTTTACACTCCTCACTCCACACTCCACACTTTACACTCCACACTTTACCCTCCTCACTTTACAACTCCACACTCTACACTTTACACTCCACCCTGCACACTTTAGACACTCCTCACTTCCACAACTAACCACTCCACACTTTACACTCCACACTTCCAACACTTTAACATTTGATTACACTCCGCACTCCACACTTTTACACTCCGCACTCCACACTTTACTACACTCCACACTCCTTGACTTTACACTACACCAACTTCACAACACTCCACACTTTCCACTCCACCGTCCACACCCACACTTTAACACTCTCTCCACACTTTACCCTCCACTTTACCACTCCACACTTTACACACTCCACACTCCTTACTTACTTTACAACTCCACACTCTACAACTTTAAACTCGACACTATATACACTCTACACTCTCACACTTTCAACTTTACACTCCACGGCTTTCCACGTACAACTCACCTCACTCCACACTTACACTCCACACTTTACACTCCACACTCCACACTCTACACTTTACACTCCACACTCCACACTCTACACTCCACACTTTACACTCCACACTCCACACTCTACACCCCACACTCTACACTTTCCACTCCACACTCCACACGCTACACTCTACACTCTACACTTTAAACTCTACACTTTACACTCTACACTTCACACTCTGCAATTTACAGACTCCACACTCCTCACTCCACACTTTACACTCCTCACTTTACACTCTACAATTTACAAACTCCACACTCCTCACTCCACACTTTACACTCCTCACTTTACACTCCACACTTTACACTTTACACTCCTCACTTTACACTCCACACTTTGCACTTTACACTCCTCACTCCACACTCTACACTTTCCACTCCACACTCCGCACTCTACACTCCACACTCTACACTTTACACTCCATACTCCACACTCTACACTTCACACTCCACACTCTACACTTTACACACTTTACACTCCCCACTCCACACTTTACACTCCACACTCCTTACTTCACACTCCACACTCCACACTCTACACTTTCCACTCCACACTGCAGACTGTCAACAAGGGAAACATGCACAAGACTGTTCAAATAAACTATTGCAGAAAGGTATTGTGCGTGACTGCATAACCATGTGTTTTGACATCTGTGCCATTAACATACGTGTGAGCATTCGGGTTTGTGGGCTTCATCTTGTTTTTTGATTTCTTGGCTGGTACAATTTGCCTAGTGTTTGCAACGGTTTGGACCTTGAATTTGTCATTTTGCATGGTATTTGGCCACATTTGGGCATGTTCACCTTCCATTTTGCATGAGATTTCCTGCATGTGGGCGTGTTCACCTTCCATTTTGTATGGTATTTGCCACATTTTGGCATGTTCACCTTCCATTTTGCATGGGATTTGCTACATGTGGGCGTGTTCCCCTTCCATTTTGCATGGGATTGGCCACATTTGGGCATGTTCACCTTCCATTTTGCATGGGATTTCCTGCATGTGGGCGTGTTCACCTTCCATTTTGCATGGGATTTGCTACATGTGGGCGTGTTCACCTTCCATTTTGTATGGGATTTGCTACATGTTGGCATGTTCACCTTCCATTTTTTATGGGGCTTTCTACATGTGAGCATGTTCACCACATCATCACGCCAACCCCAAGGGATTTGATACATTTTGGCATGGCCACCTTCACTACATCACCATGTCATCCCCAAGCTGTCAAGAGAAGGTTGGTTCGCAAAAATGCAAGTTGCGGACCATGGTCATGGTTAGAATTCACACCATCATGCTCACCACATCATCATGCCAACCCCAACTAATGTATTTACGAGCTTGGGTTTTAATATAAAAAAGCGGGAGGGGGGATTGGGGGGAGGGCGCAGCGCCCCCCCAAGCAGAATGGAAGCACCTCTTCGCACCTGTATGTTGCTAGTTTTCAGAAAAGGTTAGTTCGCAAAAATCGCAACCTGTCAACCCCAACTAATGTATTTACGAGCTTGGGTTTTAATATAAAAAAGCGGGAGGGGGGATTGGGGGGAGGGCGCAGCGCTTCCCCCCAAAGCAGAATGCAAGCATCTCTTCTCACATGTACAGTAATGCTATCAGCTTTCAAGAGAAGGTTGGTTCGCAAAAATGCAAGCTGCGGACGATGGTCATGGTTAGCATTCACACCATCATGTTCACCACATCATCATACCAACCCCAACTAATGTATTTACGAGCTTGGGTTTTAATACAAAAAAGCGGGAGGGGGGGATTGGGGGGAGGGCGCAACGCCTCCCCCCAAAGCAGAATGCAAGCACCTCTTCTCACATGTAACGCTGACAGCTTTCAAGAGAAGATAAGCAATGTGATACTCAGGGATGTAAATACTGTGCAAAATGCATCTTACATGAGAAGTCACGTATTTACAGATGCGGAAGCTTGAGTTTAGATAAAAAGCGGGTGGGGGGGATTGGGGGGATTGGGTTTTAATAAAAAAAGGGAGGGGGGGATTGCGGGGAGGGCGCAGCACCTCCCCCCAAAGCAGAATGCAAGCACCTCTTCTCACATGTTACGCTGTCAGTTTTCAAGAAAAGAGATATGTAATGTGATACTCAGGGATGTAAATATTGTGCAAAATGCATCAGAGAAGAGCAGAGAAGCAGAAAAGAGAAAAGCAAGAAAAGCAGAGAAGCAGAAAAGCGGAGAAGCAGGCAAAGCAAAAAAGAAGAAAAGCAAAAAAGCAGAAAAGCAAAGAAGCAGGAAAAGCAGATAAGCAGGAAAAGCAGGAAATTCAGAGAAGCAAAGAAACAGGAAAAGCAGAGAAGCAGGGAAAGCAGGAAAAACAGAGAAGCAGGGAAAGCAGGAAAAGCAGAGAAGCAAAGAAACAGGAAAAGCAAAAAAGCAAGGAAAGCAGGAAAAGCAGAGAAGCAAAGAAACAGGAAAAGCAAAAAAGAAGAAAAGCAGAGAAGCAGAGAAGCAGGAGGAGCAGAAAAGCAAAAAAGCAGAAAAGCAGAGAAGCAGAGAAGCAGGGAAAGCAGGAAAGCAGAAAAGCAGAGAAGCAGGAAAAGCAGGAACAGCAGAGAAGCAGGCATCCAAAAAAAAATCCTAAACCTGATCAAAAAAGAATTCCTAAAATAATTAGCCCTCCCACTCAAAAGGAGGGCTAATTATTTTAGGAGCCTTCGGTGGAAGCTTCTATCTCTTTTGCTGTGCATCTCGAGCACTCGCTTCTTGACACACTCGGCAATCTTTGCGAAAGGGTGTGTGCCCTGCTTGAATGTGCTCCTGCCATGACACTGTTCTGATTTTTACCGGCTCCTGCAACGTACAATGGCCCTCATCATCAATGGTGGCCATCTTGCAAGACGCCTTGAGCTCTCAAAAATCTCCTCCTTGGTCTTTCCAGCTACATCCCTTGGAACACCTTTTCGTCGGGGAAGTGGCACTTGTAGAGGTACATTTCCACCAATCGTAGTTGGCTTCTTAGAGATCGCTCCAAACTCGGATTGATTGATCCTTTGCTGATGAAGTCCATAGACCTCCTCCATTCTTTTCCATTGAGGCGTTCTCCACCAAGACACCACCTCCGGTCTGTCTTCTGGAGGAGCAGGCTGCTCCATGATGAGGGTTGTGGGAACTTCAAGACCTTCAGCTCGACGCACTGTCTTGAAAAAGTTGAGATTTCTCAAAATTGGACAGCCCTTCGATGCCCCACTCGCCGCCCTCCCATGCACGCAACGGTCTTGGCATATCTTCTCCAGGGACATCGAGGTGTCTGAGGACTGAGCGAGTCCTACAAGGTGGACCTCCAATCCAGGCTTTCACCCAGCCGTCCAGTGCAGCTCTCAGCAGCAATGGATAGGCATCTCCTTGGATTGACAAGTCACTTGAGCTCTTCTGATGCAGCACATGCAACTCATGTAGAAGACGACGGTCACCACCTATTTCGTGGAATGCCCTTCCCAAAGTGTACCCTGAATCCTCCCCCGAAAAGACATGGACCAGCATTCCTTTCGATCTCCACAACTTCCTCCTCCGTCGGTTGCCCAGAGGAATCAGGTTCGCTGCAGGCACTTCCACCAAGTGATTCTTGATCTCTTCCGGAACTCCTTGTAGCGCAGGATGCTCCTGCACAAGCCTTTTCAGCCATTTGACCTCAGAATCATCATCGGTTCTGAGACTCTTGACAACCTTCTCATTGGCCTTTGCCTCAATCTGCTCGATCAACTGCAGAGCCACATTCTGGGACACCACCAGGCATCCATCTTCAACTTTCACCTCCAACTTTCCCATGTCCGGATGCCAAACGTGCAAACCCTTTGGCTTCCAACTGACCTCACAACCTAAAACTGTTGTGAGTAGTCCCATGGGAACTATGGGCTCTGTGCCCTGTGCCCTCGTCGCCCACAATGACACCGGTTGGTGCGAGCGCCATGAAAATCTCCTTGTCTCCAGCTAGAGTGACCTTGACCTTGGGCAAGTGCTGAAGTCTTTCACCTTTGCGTTTGGCTCGAAGTGGATGAGTGGCGCCCGAATCAAGAAGACCCTTGTTCGTGGTTTGACAAAGCTTGGAGATTCTGAATGGCCTCAACGATGCCTTTCTGAGCTCATCCAACTGTCGCTGCAAACCTTGGATCTTGTTGTCTGGGTCCTCCCTTCTCTGCCTCTTCTCTTTGGCATCCCCTTCGCTCATAGCCTTCAACATTCGACTTGCTTCATCCAACAATTTTTTCACGCTATCGTCTCCCCCAGACTCTGCAGCGTCAGATTGCTCCTCCGACTTCTCAGGGGGCGATACTGCTGATTTGGCATCCTTCTCTACGTTCTTTGACCCGAGCTTTGCTGCACGGGGCTTTTGATCTTCTGCAGTAGGACATGCCGTGGCCATATGTTCTTTTGCGCCACATGTCCAACACCTCTTGTCGCCATCCAGCTGATGACCAAAGCAGCCACGACCTCTCCGGCAGCCAGCATCAGTCAAAAAGAAACGACAAGGCTTTCTTTTTGCCTCAAACTCCTCCTGTGGCGTCCCTTTGGGTCTAACCTTCTCATCTGTCTTCCCATTGGAAGCCTCCTCAAACTTTCGGACTTTCAACTGGCTCTCTGCTGCCGCTTCCTTCTTCTTTGCCTGTTGCCCCATTTGCTCGAGCTCAGCAAGAAGGTGCTCACTGTATTG